TGAGGTGTGTACGCGCTCTGGCGTAGTTTACGTTAATGGGTGTGTTGATATCCAGCCGAAGAGCAATCAACCATAACTTCAGGCGAGCAGGCTCAGAAGTTGGGAATACGTGGAAAGTCACCACTCCCGAATGAGTTCGCGCGAGAGAACGTAATCTTTTAGTTTTAAGTCGGTTTGAACAATTCGGATAAGCGCAAGTAAGTACCATTTTGATTAGCCGTCGTACCTACAGTGACTGCACTGTGTAAACAATGAGTGACGTATACGCGCGAGAGATCACTTCCGGCGCTTGCGTAAACTACACCAGAGCGCGTACACACCTCATGCACCGGATGCGTGCGCGCGCTCAAAGCAGTTGGACATAGTGGTGTATTAGAGGTAAAGAATTATATAAATACTGTTCGGTTTCTGGCACAAACCGATCGTTTCGTGTCTTAGGACATCAATGTGTCGTCACGAGCCGCAGGGTTCAATTTGGATTTGTCTGTGCATGTTTTTTTTACTCTCATAGATTTTGTTACCATTGCCATGCATTATACGACTGATAGACTGCAACGGTTAAAGTTAAAAATCATCATATGTGTTCTACTGAAGAAACAAAGTCACCTACATCTTGGATGTCCTGGGGGCAAGCAGATAAACATCAAATTTTCATTTTTGGGTGAACTATCCATTTAAGTATAATTTTTGCTAGAAGGAAAAATAAAAACAAGAGAGGTTGTTTCATCATATCAAATCATCCTCTCAATGCAAAGTGAAATAAAATTCATAAAATGTTTTGTCAGATAGTCATATAAAAGTTTGGTTAAAGGGGGAAAACAAATCAAAATGCAATGGCACAGGTCAAAAATATCTAGTCAACAATTAAAATGCAGCACAGTGGAACACAAAAAAATATTCCATGCTTTACTCCATCCTTTACCCTTGTGCCATCCCATATGACTTTATAGCATGACTTTATATATGAAGATAAACACATGCAAAGATTTTTGGACAAAATCTGTGATCTGTGGATCTGTGGGCCATTTTTTGGGTGTGGATCACTTATATGTATATTTAATGTAATACATTTATATTTTATTCTTAAGTGTTTTTAAAGAAGATAAAATAGAAATTGCCTTGCCCTCCCGAATGATTTGTAGGTGCGCTAGATTTGAGTTCAGTATATGAACTCAAAAAAATGTATAAATCCTGCGAACTACTCAAACTTAAATAATTATAAAGCTTATTAGCAATGTTCGGTCAGTCTACCCTCCTCAGACTCGCAAAAGTGTCTGAAAATGTAATAACAATTCATTAAGAGTATTTACAGATCAAAATAATGACAAAGGCCATACCTCCAATTATGCAGTCAATATAGAATTCAAAATACTTGTTACAAATAATCAAAATATTATTTTACACCCAAATGAACAATAATGCAAATTCTAATTCTACAGGATAAATAAAATTGTTAATTCATCTACATTACAAAAATAATACTATTACATCTAAGCAGTAAATAATTCAATTAATAAAAAAAAAAAAAAAATCAATAAAAAGCAAGAAAATTGTTTTCCATGATATCTCCGTTTATATCTTGTGTTTTTGCTTCGGTTTGATAGAAATTAAAGTTTCGCATTGAAACACAGGTGACTTACAGTCTACAGTGTATATACACCAGAATATAATGCTGCGGTCACGGGGTTTGTTGGCAGCAAATGAAGAATATGTGTGAGAGTTGGCGAGCGTATGTGTCTGAGATGCCTGGCCATATAAGCATGCTTGTGTCAGGGTGTTTACTGTACATGCGTGTTTTTGTTGGACATGCATGTGTGTGTTTTGGTTCAGCGTGTGTGTTGGCGAGGGTGTGTGTGACAAGAGTGTGAGTGAGGGCTGTTTTCATTGGATGCACGAGTGGATTTCATTTTGTATGGCTGTCTGTGAATGTGTGATTAGTGACTGTCATCACAATGACTCATTTCATCTCTGCTTTTGCATTTCTTCACAGAAATCTGAGCAACAATCGTATCCGCGTCCTGAAAAATGGCTCCTTCACTGGCTTGTACTCCCTCGAGAAGCTGTAAGTAAACCTCTTTCTCGTCATCATCATCTTCATCACCATTGCAAGGCTTAGTGGTTTCTTTGATGTATGTCAAGGTTGGCCGTTTTGATTCATTGCGGAGTCAAATGCTAAAACATTAAAACGAGCGAATGATTACTCAACAGATAACATGTAACATCACCAGTAATGGATTTAAAGGGGTCATATGATGTTACATTTACATTTAGTCATTTTGCAGACGCTTTTATCCAAAGCGTCTTTGCAACTTTACAGATCTTCTTTATGCACCAAGGGCTTATAACACTCCAAAGAGAAAGGAAAAATTGAAATAGCATCATATGACCCCTTTAAAATAAGGTAACAACATAAAAACACATACAAGTTTGGCATCAAAAAGATACTTTTATAGATATGTATACTTTCATTCAGTAAGGATGCATTAAATTGATCAAAAGTGATAGTAAAGACAAATATAATGTTACAAAAGATTTATATTTTGAATAAATGCTTTTCTTTTGAACTTTCTATTCATCAGAGAATCTTAAAATATATATATACAGTATGTCTTGGTTTCCACAAAAATATTAAGCATCACAGCTGTTTTTAACATTGATAATAATAAGAAAGACTTAAGACTGGAGTAATGGCAGCTGAAATTTCAGCTTTGATAACAGAAATAAATTACATTTTGTAATATATCGAAAGAGAAAGCAGTTATTTTAAATTGCAATAATATCTAACATTATTACTGTTTTTACTGTATTTTTGACCAAATATATGCAGCCTTGCTGAGCATAAGAGACTTTCAAAAACATTAAGAAACATTCAAATCGAACTGACCCCAAACTTTTGATCACTGAAAAATATAAAAACATATAGGCTATCACATTTATTTATTTATTTGACCATACATTCAAACTTTAAAGGAATATTTTGGGTTATTTTCATTAATGTCTACGACAGCATGTGTAGTAAATGGTTCAGCACAGATGATAGTTTTGACTCATTCTTCATTGTGTATGAATGAATGAGAAACAGTAAATATATTTATAATCCAAGTTTAGCAGGCGGGGAACACAAATATATGCTTAATTACTGTTTAAAATAAAATTAAAATTAGAATCACTTACCCAATCTGTGCTGTATGTGCAAAATCATATCCAATGTTTCAGCAGATGTCATGAGCATCTGAAAGAGTGACTTTCACTTGTTTTTTGTGTGATCGTAAAATATTGTTTACGTGGATTTCAGCAAACTCCACCCACAGAAATGACATCACCCTAGTAAAAAAGAAATATATTTAAAATGCTTTTATTTCATACTAAGTATAGTTCAAATCTATTAACATATTTATTGACATATCGCTCGAGACATACTGATATAAAAATTATAATTAAAGTTTATTTGGAGTACTTGTGCACAATGCATATTTCTTAATATTAAGCCTAAAATGTGTTTTAATGCCACTATCGATGAGGATTCTATGATCTTTGAGTAATATCGGTCTTTAAATGCAAGATATTTAAAGTGTACCTGAAGTATACTTGCAATAGCTCCACTTTAGCACATTCAAGTATACTTCAGTTCCTTTTTAGTTGGGCTTCAGCACTACTTACGCACAATATAATGCATTAAGTACAAAATTACTTGTTCCAATTTAGCAGACTTGAAGTATGTCAGTTTAGTATACTAAAAGTACAAAGTTGCAGGGTATTTTTATTAAGCACATAAATATGTAAATGTATGTGCAGTATACTTAGCATGAAATACATTTATTTCAAATGCATTTTAGTTTATTTATTTTTCACTAGGGCACTGATGCATAAACAAAAGTACATCTGATTAGAAAAGCAGTCCCACTGCTAAAAGACAATTGAGACATTGACAGATCAAGTATAAAAAATAAATAAATATATAAATAAAAATAAAAGTTTTAAAGTGCTTTAGCAACATCTCAAGAATCAAATTTGACCTTTTAAGGCCACCGATCTGCTTACCCGCAAAACATCTGTTGGCCTATGTGTTTACTGTATATTTCCTCTTTGCTTAAAGCTGCAGTACATAACTGTTGCCTCTCTATCGCCATCCCTTTTTTGAAACATAAAAATGCTTACGATTAAAAGCAGCCATCGAGATGACAAGTTTAAAACCTAAGAACAAGCTACAAATGCTCCACAAACACACGCTATACAGTAGCCGGTTCTTCCTCTGTCTGTTTACGGACGTGATGTCCATGCAATGATGAATGCTTTCAAACAGATGAATGATGTCAATTTTCCGTAAAATCGGACCTGACACCTTAAATTATAAATCATTGTTATAAGCTTTAAGGAGACAGTTTTGAACACTGATGTTTTATGTACAAACTGCAGCTTTAAATACAAGTGCAAATTATTGTCAAAAACAAAAACATTCTACTTTATTTAGAAAATAATCAGGAATATTTCTCAGATTTTCATACTGAATATTGAAGTTAACGCTGACAGGGAGCTGTTTGCTGCTGTCTGTGAGTGTGATGCTGCAGTAGGGAGGATGAGCCGGTACGCGAGACTATCACAGAAGGAGTCTCATTACACCTCCATATATCACTCTGTGAAGAACCGCTCAGTCTGGAGAGATAACAGAGGAGGTGGAGAGGAGGCTGCCAGGGACTGAAGGAGGAAGAAATATATTGTGTTGCTGATTGACCTGCAGTATTGGTGTATGATACTGAAAGCTACAGTAGGCCATATTATTTTCTAATAAAACTGTTTTGTAGCTCTTTTGTAGCCTGCATATATAAAAATGGTAATACGGTACCTTGGCTAAAAAAAACATAATACTTTTAGTGGGCTAATACATATTTTCTAACTCTAAATATTGTTTATTGTGAGTGTATGTGGCAACACGTGTGTTTGATGTGTGTGTGTGTGTGTGTGTGTGTGTGAGGTCATTATTGTGTGCACATGTGTGCGCTCGTGTTCATGTGTGCACGTGTGCAGTGATTAGCCGTGTGTGTGTAAGACAGGGCTGCTCTCTGTATGTAGGTGTTTGTTTGGGGTAAAAGGATCTGATTTGCTTGTTTTTGCAAGTGCAGACAAGACCCCCGGGGAGCTGCGGAGGTCAAAGGTCAGAGAAACTGGAGCCGTGCCCGCAAACAGGCGCTCGTACCTGGGATTGTAGTTAAACCAGGCTAGGATGAGGGGAAGGGCAGTTTCAGTACACTCTTAAGAAAAATGGTTCTAAACAGTACCAGAAAAGTGTTCTTCGGCTTGTAACAATAGCAGAACCCTTTTTAGTGCTAAAAATAACCTTTTTTATAGGGTTCCATATAGAACTGAAGTAAAACAAAATAGAAACTGAAAATAGTGAAATGAAGACCAAGTTTCTGTAAATACTGTATTTTCATAATCCTCTGTGATGCCTGTAAGTTCATCATTATGTGTATTTTGGTGTGATTGAGTGGCCGTTTCTCTCTGCAGATGACGAGGTTGTAGGATGTGGCATCATCTGAAATACACAATTTAGTTCAGAGTTACAATGCGTCTCCTTCCATTTGTTTTTGTAAAAACAAAACAAAAAAAGGACCATAAATTAAATATTTTTGTTACTTAGTGGTGAAGTGGATAGAAGTATCCTTAATTGAACAGGGCTGGTCACACTTACATGTTCTCTTAAGAGAAAAATACATGATTTGTAAGAAACCATGTTACAATTCGAAAGTTAAAAATTATAGACATTTTAAGAAATAAATAATTTACCTGCTGAGAGTGTGTTGACAGTCTGTGTAGTTGGATAGCTGAACTCCAGAAAATCAGTAGGCCTAATGATCCATCTTTTTTAGAGTGTAGCCTCTGTTAGTAATAAAAAGTATTTAAAAACTAACAATATGGATTATAAATTCAATGTCTCTGTTACTTATTTGGTGGAGAAGAGGAGTTTCCTCAGCCAGAGCTGCTCACACTTATATGTGATCAAAAAAGAAGAGAAAAGAACATGTTTGTTTGAAAACCAGACACAATTTTAAAGTTAAATTTGTATATAAATTTAAGAATTAAATCAATTTACCTGTTGAGAGTGTGTTGACAGTCTGTTGGATGGCTGAGCTCCAGAAAATCAGTAATGAGGCATCTTAGAGTGTAGCCTTGGTTAGGGTTTTACATTAAAACAACAACAACAATAACCACAACAGCAGCATGTTGTGTGAATTATGTTTTTATTGCCATGCAAAATGATCAGTGCTCTTAACAACAGTTATTAGCTGAATACATTAATGAATGACAATTGACATTGAACATGAATAAATTCATAAATAAATAAAACACAAAATAAGAACAAAAAATAGATGTGATGAAGACCAAGTTTCAGTGAAACAATCACAATCCAGTCAATATGATGCCTTAAGTCCATCATTTTGGTGTGATTAAGTAGCGATTTTTATCTGTAGATGATGAGGTTGTAGGATGTAATACATCTGAAATACACAATTGAGTTTAGAGTTACAGTGTGTCCATGTGTTTGTGTAAAAACAATTATGCTTATGAAGGCCAAAAGCACAAATGGACAGTATGTGAGCCCTTCACAATCTTAAAAGAAAAAGGTGATATAAAGTCATGGGATAGTTTTAATATTTATTGTGACTGGGTATGTTTATACATAAACCAAAGTAATAATAAAAAAAAAAAAATAGAAAATTTGGACTTCAAATTTTGGGCTACCATCCACTCCCATTATAAAAGCTTGGAAGAGCCAGGATGTTTTTTAATATAACTCCGATTGTATTCGTCTGAAAGAAGAATGTCATATACACCTAGGATGGCTTGACGGGAGTAAATCATGGGGTAATTTTCATTTTTGAGTGAACTATCCCTTTAAGTACACTTTAAGTTAAGTGGCCTTTCATTATCGATTGAAAATCATTATATTATTTACAGATATGGTTTTCTTAAAAACTTTTAACCCTCCTATCACTTTAAAAAAAAACTGTATAACCCTTCTGCAGTCCTGGGTCAGTTTTGACCTGGTGAAACGTACATTTA